GGAAATAATGAATAATTTATTATTCCTAAAGTAATAGCACTATACTCCTTCATGGTAGTATGCTTTATTGCTATTGCTAGAGCTGATAGTTTTTAGGCCTTACTCACTCTAAACCTGCATATATTTGGGGGATTTCTGCAGATTTTGTGCAACTTACTCGCATTCTAGTCTTCCTCTCCAGAGATGAACTATTAAAAAATTCAACATAAAATACAAGTACTACACTTAGTTCTTTATCCTTCCCCTAGCTGTGGATTTTTCAAGTACTCGTGGCTGACAGATTTGGCTAAAATTTGACAACACATTCAAAAGTTTAGAAGTTGATGGACAAGAAAGAACATCTCATCAGCACCTTTGTATCCTCAGGAGGCTCGCTAAGAAACGCATCTTCTACAGATAAGTAGTTCATTAAAACCTTGAATACAGAGAGTAGATAAATCAAACAGTACTTTACTGCCCTAATAAAATACAACACATTTAGGACCCAAGCAAGTTGGATTAGAAAGATGAGCACGATACATTACAGTGTAACATTACTATTATTTTAGTACTTAGAATAACTCTCACACCTGAGTTTCAGGTTTGTATTTATCTACCCATGGCTCATCTTGAGACTGGCTCTGATTTTGTCTGCACTCGTTGCCAGGCAGGTCTACTGAAGATGACTTTGTTCTTTTTTTGGGCAGAACTTTGCTTTTGCTACGTGCCGGCACTGAAGACGGGTCTTTGTTCTGCTGACAATTTCTTCCAGAGTTGCTTCTAGGCAGCTTTGCAGAAACTGTGCTAGAAGAAACAGCTGTGTTTCCAAAGAAGTCATCAAATGAATCTGCCAACCAACCTTTTACCTGGTAAAATAAAAAAATAATTTAAAAAAGTTATTATTGTGGCATTGTCTTCCTTTAATTGGGCACAACTGTCTCCAGAAAATTTGAGATTTCTTCCAGGTATGTATAAAAAAAATACCTTGTAGATGCAAAAGAATTTCATTAACATTGAGAGGATATTAAAAATGCCAGCTAGCAACAAATGCTGGCACTTACTCTGCTTGGACTGTATCAATTACAGGCTTCTTAAGGGCCAAAGAATAAAGTTAATATTTACACCTTGTGCCAGAGGATTTTGCAGCAAACTGGCAAACCAGAACAAGCTGAGATCTCTGCTAAAACACATTTAAATTAAAAACAAACAAACAAACAAACAAACAAAAAAAAAAAAAAAAAAAAAACAGTAAAGTTAAAACAGAAGTAAGAATGGAAAAGCAGCATAAGCTTATCAACAGCCTTCACATTAAGATCAAGTTTGTGTTGTCTCTTCCATTGTAAAGACTTTTTCCCCCATTTACAAGGCAGCTTTTCTTCAAAAACTAGAAATATATAACAGAAAATCGATGTGAAGAGCATGATATAATCAGGTATTGGTGTTCATCTTCCACACGAGGCCATACGGACTGATGGACTGATCTCGGGTCAGCGGCCGTGCCGTGCATCACGAGCCAGACAGCGACACGTAAAGAAACCGCTGTTCGTGGTTTATTTTTTTAACACAATTTACTTTTGCACCTGAGGAACACCCTGCAGGGCCGGTGTCCAAGCTCGCAGGCCCTAAGCTCCCTCTGAGGCCACCTGCGTGTTGCCAGAGGAGCACAGCCAAGGGCCCCACACGCCGCTTGCTGGCAGGACGCGCTCTCAGAGCACAATTTTTTTACGAGTTTAGGCGACTTCCCCGGGAAATCAGATACACAAATACACACTCAAGACCCAGAACTCTCTGAAAAGTAAAAAAAAAATTAACAGGAGCCTCTCAAAAAAACACGAATGGAGGCGCCGCGACAGCCCCCCCCCCCCCGGCCCCCGAGGAGGGGCAGGCTCATGGCCGCCCGCGTCCCCCTCACCCCGGGGCCGGTCCCGGTGCCTACCTCCGGCTGCCTCCCCGCGGGGCTCCGGGACATCGCGGCCGGCAGCGGGGCCGGCAGCGGGGCCGGGGCTCCTGGCAGCTCGGCCGGGCCTCGCTGGGTCCTTCCTCAGCGCCCTCCCTTAGCTGCCCGCCTCAGCGCCTCGCCTCGCCCCGCTCGGGCTGTGCTGTGCTGTGGGCGGCGGGGCCATGCGGCGGCCCAACGTGCTGCTCACCGGTGCGGGGACGGGGGGGTCACGGGCAGGGATTTGGGGGACACGGGCGGGGATTTGGGGACACGAGGAGCCCCTTCCTCCTTGTCCTGCCCTCGCCTCTCTCTGTGCAAAACCACCCCCCCCCCCTTCAGGTTTCCCCTCAGGAGGGGCTCTCTGGAGGGCGCCCGGCTCCTCACGCTCTGACCTGTTTTTTGGGGGGGGATTTTTTTATTTTTTTTTTTTTGCTTTAGGTACGCCGGGTGTGGGGAAGAGCACGCTGGGGAAGGAGCTCGCCTCCAGGACTGGGCTGACCTACATCAACGTGGGGGACCTGGCCAAAGAAGGTAGGCCGGAGATGCCTTTTATTTTCCAGAGCCTGTCACTTCTACAGCGCTTGTTTTACAGTAAAAAATAATACAAGGGGTTTGCCTTAGTGGAAGTGTTTTTGGTGGGGTGTGCTAAGGAAATGGTGGGAGTAAAAATGTTGTTTTTTTACAGCGTTACACTGTTTAAAGGTAAGGAGTGTGGTATTGAGATGTGCTTGCACTGCTAAGAAAGCTTAGCAGGCAACCTTGTAAAACACAGACAGCCAGACTCCTTGGAGCAATTAGGTGAAAATCACGGTGTCAAGTCAGGAAAGAGAAGAAACATCAACACTTTAAGCAGTAAAAATGTCAAAAGAAATGGGAAATTTAGTAGGCCAGCAACTGAAGGACATGCGTTGTCTGTGAAGCATCAGATAGGTTGTGAACCTGGATTACCCACTCAGTGGGGAATCACTCAGAGGAGATTCCTGTCATCAAAAAGTACATAAACTGTGTTTTGGAAGTGGTAGGGGCACTATCCTCCTTGTGGGGCACCCGCCATTGCAATCACGAATAAATTGATACTTCACTGAGATCCTCACCTCAGTTACTGGCTTCGGAGTGTTTTTCGCAAAACCACTCCTGTAACAGTAATTTATTAATCAATACAATGCAAGTGACAAACCTCTCTTTATAGGAATGTGTAGAGGTTGGACTAGGTGATCTTAGAGGTCTCTTACAGCCTAGGTGACTCTGTGATTCTGTAAATGAAGCACTCCATGCTCAGTACAGTATTTTTGTCTGTACAATATTTTTGTTTACAGTCTCCCAAAACAAACGTAACTATATTTTTAATAACTTCTGCTATTTCACTAACTTGCATGAATTATTTTTGCTGCAGGAGAACTATATGAAGGTTTTGATGAGGAGTATGAATGTCCAATTTTGGATGAAGACAGGGTAAGTTCAACTTCAAACCCTAGGATTTTTGCATTTGTATTGATCATTTCCTGTGATGTCACATAACCTTGCCTGTCTGTTTTTTTTACAGGTAATTGATGAGCTAGAAGACAAGATGCGCGAGGGTGGAGTTATCGTTGATTACCACGGCTGTGATTTTTTCCCTGAACAATGGTTTCATATCGTATTTGTACTTCGCACAGACAACTCATTTCTGTATGACAGGCTGGAAAGCAGGTATGTCACACAATGAATAAGTAAATTGCTGTTGTGTGACTTCTTCACAGATTTGATTGTGGTATCAACTACTGATTCTGCATGATATATTTTGTAGTTCTTTCTATATCTGAGGCTTAGCTTGGTGCTGTTCTTGTTTTTCAGGGGTTACAAAGGGAAGAAGCTACAGGACAACATTCAGTGTGAAATTTTTCAGACTCTTTATGAGGAAGCTATGTTGTCATATCGGGAGGAAATCGTGCACCAGTTACCCAGCAACACTCCAGAAGACCTAGAGAGAAATTTGGATCAGATTATGCAATGGATTGAGCAATGGATGAAGGACAACAACTGACATTTGCTGAAAAAGTAACTCTGCTGGTCTCTTCCTGGGAAGTTTAATAAATGTCATTTTTTAATTCTTGTATGGTTAATTAAAATTAATTTAATTGTAGTTTGACATGGTTGGAAATTAGAAAAAGCATCCAAATAGCCAAGCTGTAAGGCTTTGGAACTGCCTGTGAAGCCGTGTGGGAGAGGCACATAGAAGAACTGACACCAGAGTAAAAATTGAGCAGAGTGTAAAGAGGATAACGACGCAGTTGCCTTTAGTAGGAGGAACAAAACTGAAACCTAGCTTTTTTTTTTTTTTTTTTTTTTCCCCACTAAGAAAACTGTAAAATCCTTAAAATTAAGGAGCATTCAATTTCCAACGGGTAGATCAGTCAGTGTCCTGAACAACAATCAGTTTCTGAATTGCCAAACTTCGAACTGCTAAGCTCCACTATATATACTCGACTGTGTGCAGGCTAATGTAGGGTGAGAGGTGATAGATTTTAAGGACAGTGCTTCATTTTTTGAGGGAAGAGTTGTGACCTTGCTAAAAGAGCTGTATATAAATGGAATTATTCACGATGTAAAGAAATGTTGGCTGTCCCTGCAGTAGTGAAGAAAAGCAAGCTGCAGGCTTGCTTTTTCCTTTTTGTCTCAGCATTCTCTGTCGCCTGTCCCAGTGATAAATAAACTTTTTATATCCGTGAGCTTGAACAGTAAAACTGATTCCTGGTAAAGAGTGTTGTTGTTACGTGTTTTAGATCCTATCTTTTTAATCAAAGTTTGGTGAGACTGACAGGAGTGTTTGAGAAGGGACGGAAGTCTTTCTGCAGATCATCTTCAGGTGCTGTTAGCACTTCAGCAAATCAACCTGCGTGCACCAGGACCATGAGTGGAATTGGTAGGAGAAATCTGGAGCTTCCTGGCTGGATCGGGACCAAACACTGGGGGAAAAAAACACCTCCTTTTGAGCAGCACTTTTCAGGGTGAGGGCATGGATGGAAAAAATAAACGAAGGCGCGAAGCTGGGTGAACTCGAAACTGTTCCCAAAACCTGCTTTGCGTGTGAGGGTGGCTGTGTGCAGAGCAGGAAAACACGGGAGGAGCCGCAGCCAGCCCTGCCCTGCCCTACACGGACACCGGGGCCGTGCCGAGCCGTGCCCGGGAGCACGGTGCCGACAGCGAGCAGAGCAAGGGGGATCTGGGGGAAATTTGGGGGGGCTGGCCGCCTTCTGCAGCACCAGGGAGGCGGGACAGGTATCGGGGAGCAGCCACATGCTGAAAGCTTTGGGTTTTTTCTCATTTTGGTGGTGTTTTTTTTTCTTTAATGACGGGGCTGGTTTTGTTTCTCCAGGTGGGTTACCTGCTGGCGGGGAAGGGGCGCTGTCCACGCGGGCACGCCCGGTTAAAAGGGGGAGAAAGCGAACAAAGCAGGGGGAAGGGAAGATGGAGGAAGCAGAAGAGGATGACATGGCATGTGGAGACTTGGGAAACGGGCTGGGGAGAAGACCTGGAGCTGCTGCATACGAAGAGGAGGACGCACAAAGCTATCCGTCCAGATCCAGGAAGGGGTCTGGAAAGGCTTGCAGAAGTTTCCTGTCAACGAAGAGAGTGGAAGAAAATGAAGCTGCTTTTCCCTGCTCCAAGCGGAACAGCGTTTATGACGGATCATCCAAAACCCCTGTTACTAGTTTGACCCGACAAAAGAGCTCCGGTAAGGCTAATTTGGAGTTGATTATTCACCCTGAGGAAATTATGCACATTGGCAATTCAGGGCAGCTGAGCTGCTTCATGAGGCATCTTCAAATTTAGTGTGAACTGTTTGCCAAAACCCTCTGAAGCTGCAGAGGATGCCAGGCACATGTTCAGCACGTGCCTCCTGGGGTCTGCCACTGCGTGGCCCTCGAGTCTTGTCCTCTCAGGGCCGTGAACAGGGCACGGAGGAGATACTCGGTGTAACCAAGGCAGCGAAGTCATCTCTGCCCCAAGCTCTTCCTCCCAAAATGGCCTTCCAGCCACTTGGGCTGTGGTCCTACTTAGTGTGAAACAACCCTTCCTGGTATTTAGTTTTGCCTTTGAAAGTGACATCCTGTGGTAAAGAGCAGCTTCATTCTTCTCTACACACATATATATATGAGTGTGTGTGTATATATATTATTATTAGATTTAATATACATATATATGTATGTATATGTATGTATATCCATTATACATATATATATGTATATGTAAGTATATTAAACTTAATGGATTTGTTTGGATTTCTGATATGAATGTATCTTTCCAGAGACTGCATCCAAAGATTAGGGCTAAATATTCAAAGTCCTGTTTGTTATTTAGTTGAAATTTATGAACTGGCATAGTTTTAAGGTTAAGAAGTTTCTGTACATCTCTGCTATCTCAGTGTTGGCATTCATTTTTTCGTGTGAAGAAATGCTGCTTTAAATAAAATCAGGTACAGGCAGTGATGTTCTTTACACTTTAGCTTCTCTGCTTTGCATTTTTAGTGCTTTGACTGAAGTATTTCCATAACACTTCCTTATTTCTCTTCTTCACAGCAAGTCCACATTATCTTGTCTACACACTGCAGTAAACTAAGCCATGTAGTTTTATTCTCTGTAGGTTTTAGCAGTGTCAGTGAGATGTTACAAGAGCAACATAGTTCCAGTTGGTCTCACTGTACTCCTGCCAGTGCTCCTGCTGTCTTGGACCTAGGTTGTTCACCTAGATCATCCACACAGCGCTACCCATGAAAGCACGACTAAATCCCACATGAACGTGACTTGGATTTAGCAGGAGGCTGCATGTTAATATAGTTCTGTGCTGCTCAGTTTAAGGAAAAATGGTGCCGATAGGAACCACTAGTCTAGACAAACACTGAATCCTGCAGAGTACACCACTGTACTTCATCTCAGTGTCTTAAACATTGGCCTGACTTCTGAATTGCACTAGCTACTGTAGTGTCAGGTGCAGCTGAAGAAAAATTGCAATTTAAAAGGAATCTAAAAAATTAAATTATTTTGGGAGTAGAGATCACAAGTTTGTTTTTATTACTAACTGGAAATTTTAACCTTGAAGTCGACCTTATTTTAGATTTTTTTTCCCATTTAGCTTCTTTAACCGTGGAACAATGTTTGAGTTTAGGATTTATGTATTTCTTAGATCTGCTTATTAGCTCCAGGAGGAAAAAAAAATATGAAAATCATCTCTGCATGTTTCCTGCTTTCCGGTTAAAGTAAATTCTCATGTTTTCTTTTGTAACTGTTTTAGTATCTCATATTCTGGTATCTCCTATCAATCTAACAGAATCCAGTACTGAAATGTCAAATGAAGAACTGAAGCAACAACTTCGAGAAGCTCTAGAGGTTAGTAACACTGCCAGGTATGCTGTTCTTGAAATCTGCATTTCATTTTAATGTATCGAAGTAAAGCACAGTGTTACTTTGGCAGATGTTTGCATGGTCAGAATCTTGAATGGAATTGGGTTCTTGAAACTCATGTACTACTTGGAAGCCTAATTCAATTTTATGCTAGGGAATCGTAGTGTGTGATGCAGTTTATACTCCGGATTTTTAGGGGGAAAAAGTGTTTTTAAAGGTGTAGAGAATATTAGAAGAATTGTGTTCCTTTTCTAGCAGTTTTCCCTTTTTATTGAGGTTTGCGTCTGAAAATCTGGAGAGTAAACTGAATAGTCTTTGGCTTTTTAATATACATTTTTACCAAAAGGTAGTCAACGCCTATGTTTTTAATTTTACTGCAGATAATTGTGTTGGCATCAGTACAGACAGAAATACCAGAGTGATCTCAGCTGTAAAAACATATACTTCACCTTTACTGTATTCTTTCACCTCAAAATACCTCATGATATGGCACTTTTAAGCTGTCTTTAAGCTGTCCTACAAAGAACTTTTACTGCAGAGCAACTTAAAATGTCCAGGAACCTTACTAATTTTCAATACAATGAAGGTAATAAATTGGCACGGATAACAGATACAAACCCAGTATCAACTGGTGAGATACTGGAAGACCTATGAAAGATGTTTTGGATAGCCACAGATCAAGGGACCTACGTAGAGGTTAAGCAAAAATCGCTATATGAAGTAGTGAATTTTCTTTGATCTCTTGAAAACTGAAAAACCGCCTTCTTCTAAAGGGAGGAATGTTGCTTAAAGGCATGACTGGATCAGGAATCTATCTCATTTTTGTTGTTCTTTTGTTTTGGGCAGGTAATGTAACAGATAGTCCTGATATGATATCCATTCTATAGAGTACAGATATTTTGTATAATATTTTATAATACGTCATATTATAAATATATAATAAGTCCTAAGTGCTGTTAATGTTTATAGTAGTGCTGTTAATGTTTATAGTATATTTTCCTTCTGCTGCATGTATAAAGAAATTTATTCTGTTTGCTCACTTAATGTAAATGCTCTAGGCCTATGTTAGTATATACAACTTCTTTAGCAAGGTAGAACTGCAATATTTAGTGGTTTGTTTTGTTTTCCTGAATACACTGGAAGAGAACAGAACGAAAAATCGCAAGTATTCTTCTTTAAGGATTTTGCACTAGCACGTGCTGTTAACATTTCATCACAAGCAAGCTATTAGAAAAGAATCTAAGAGGATAAAAACAAGAGGAGAGTTTTTTTTGGAGGGAAGGCAAATTTACATTGCTGTTATACTTGAGTTTTTAACAGGATTATCTTGGCTTTTACCCAGTGTGCCTGTTTTATTTTGCTTCAGGAAGTTGAAATTTTGAAAGTTGAGCTTGAAGCTTCTCAAAGACAGCTTGAAGGAAAAGAAGAAGCCCTAAGAATTCTGCAGAGCATGGTAGGAGCTGTTCAGAAATTTTCTGCTTACCTTGTAGTAAAGGAAAAATAAATAAATAAATAAATCTTTCTGCCTCTCTTCATTAAACCCCACAAAACTTAAGGTCTTCCTAGGGCAATACTTTAAAAACGTTGAGACTGCAAGTCTGTACAGACTAGGCCCTTACAATTGACTACTTTTTCTGCATGAAATCATCACAGTTACTTAAGAAGACTTTACTGCTGTAGCAAATTCTCAGTAACTTATCCTTGAGGATTCCAGGATTGTTATATTTTATTCACTGTCACGATGCATGGTGTTGAAATCAACTGCATACTTGCATAATCCATTTATAGTTCTGCATGTTCTACCCTCAGACATTTGTAATCAGTCAAACCTAGATCAAGGTATAGGTATGTTGTAACCAAATTTTCTGAGAGTTGATTTTGTGGACAGTCCTTGCAGACATGATCTCTTTCTGAGTCATGTGCTATTTTCCAGTAAGAGCCTAGGGGATTGAAACACAAGTTTGTTATGCTCTGTAGCTATTTAGTATCTTAAAATTAGAGCCCATGGGGACTTACAAGGTAATTGCTAATGTTTGAAATTCAACACACTCCTGGTTAACCAAGAGCATGGACTTGTATTGATGTACAACTGAATATTGGGCCTTATTTAATTATAGTATTTGACAGTTGTGACTATAATAAAGTTAGTCGTGACTAAAATAAAAAAACTTTTTATTTTTTTAGGCAGTATTTAATAAAGCCACTAGTCATACAAAAGCAATGCTTCAAAAAACTGAGGAAGAAAAGAGAACTTTAGAAAAGGTAAGGGTGCAGGTTTTCTTTAAACTGGCACAATATCATAGAAGTTCATCACTATTAATAAGGGGTGGTCATACTGTTTATTTAAATCTATAGCAATCTGCCATTAGCTCATTTTTTTTTCCCCAACTATTCTATTTTTAAGTGGAAAAGGAAAATGCTAATGTATCACTCTTGATCTAGATGTTTTCCAGTTACACTGTGTACAAATAATAACTGTGAGATACTGGAATTATGTTTGTGTTTTCAATTGGTCCGTGTTGTGAGATTCACAGTTGTTGGTACTGAGTTGTATTATTTCTGAGTTAACCTTGATCTTCCAAACAAGTCTAAGAAATGAATACCCTGTTTTAATTGGGAAGATGAGGAGGAGGAACGCTTTGAGCTACTTCATTAAACGGGGTTCTATTTCTCTTTCTATGTGGCCTTTCCACAGAACAGTAATGGAAGAGGGAAACAGGACAGCATGGGTTTGCTTTTGTCATAACGCAGTACAAGCATTAGCGCGTTCAGCGTGGTCTGGAACAAATAGGTTAGTGACGCAGAAACTCATTGTTGTCTGCTGCCAAATTTATTTTAAAAGACATAGATTGTAGTTACTGTTGGTCACCTTAGTCTCTGTCAGTGCCAAACACAGCACCAGCTGTTCCATTTCTTCCTTCCATTCTGAGGATTATAATGAACTTCTGCTGGTTTGTTTTGTCTCTACAGGAAATAAATATTTTGCAATGGGAAATTGAATTTGATCAGGATAGATTTAAAAACATAGAAGATACGTGGACAGAAAAATATGACAGGTATTTAACTTATGCTGTGTTTCTTTTTTCTTTCTATTTTTTTTTTTTTAAACCACATTTTATGCTATATGTTATCTTCATCTCGTTCCAAGTTTGCTTCATCAGGTCATCTGGTCCTGGTGGTGGGTTTGTTTGTTTGTTTTGTTTTGTTTGTTTGTTTTGTTTGTTGTTTTTTCTTTCAAAATTTCCTTCACAATTTGGGAAGATGAATTTAATTTTCATATTAGTCAGATTTGTATTTTTCAATAGTTAAAATATACTATTTTAATTAATTTAAAAATATTTTTCAAAGTTAAAACTACTAAAATTAATAAGCCTCAATTCTTTAGATGGCTGGCTTTGCTAGATTCAGTTTTCATTTTCATCCTTTTACTTTATTATGTTAGCTAGCAGGAACCAGACTGTCTCTATTTACTTTAAGTGTAAATGAGGCATGGAAAATAATGGTATGTGCTTGCTTGTGGAAATATCGTTTGCTGGTTAATCATTGTTTTACTTTCTTGTGTTGTAGGTATGAGCCTAAGTGCAGGTAAAATTTAATGCTTTTGAGAGAGGCAGATCAACTGGTTCTTTGTTTAAGTAAGAATTATTCTGGGTGGACTGAAGGTATAGACAGGCAAGCAGAAGAAGCCAGAGGAGTCTAGACCACTTCAGAGGCACTAAACTAATAATGCAATAACAGACATTGAAAAAGTGACCAGCAGCCTCACTTATTTAATGTTCATATAGTATGTCTGACCTCTAGACATCAGAGTTATAATTATTTTAGTGGAATTTTTTATTTAAAACTTTCATACTTAGAATCAAAGAAAAGACAAACAGAAAAAACTATTAATTTGTAAGAAGAGTTTTGCTAAGATTTTGTATCTTGTTCACCTCTTAACACAGTTGCAATGTCAAGAAATCCTTTCTGAAAAACCACTTGGCTTTGTGGACTCAGGAAAGTAGCGAGAGGTGTGAGATAGCTGTGAGTAACAAAATTACTGTTAATGGTTGGAAGCTAGAGACTGAGCTTCAGAAAGCTGCAAGCTATGAGCCAAAGACATGAACTGTAGTCTCTGCAAAAAGATTTTCAGATATCTGATACACTAGAATGAGAATAATGTGTATTTCCCTTTCTTTATTTGAAGGAAATACTCCAAGTTATTATTTAGCTTTAAACAAAAACATGAAGTCACAGTATGCTGCATTTACTGGCAGCTGAAGAGATACACCAAAAAATGTATACTGCTATAACATTTAGGATTTCAGACTTCCCAGAAGCATATCCTGTTGAATAGAAAAATGGCAAAATGCATTATAAATGTCTGTTGAATGTTCTCAGTTTGCAATGCTGAAAAGTATAGCTGTTCTTTGCAAGAGTATTAAGATTACAGGAAGTTTACTTTCTAAAATTGAGACCCAAGCCATATTGTCGTATGTCCAATAACAATTTCCTGTTTTCAAGGAAGCAAGAGATTGCTAGCAAGTGTTTCAGAGGCTTACAATACAAATTTTATTGAGTTTCTAATGGTAATTATGATTTTTATGAGTTTCTAATGGTACTTAAACACATCTCTTGTTAAGCTCTGAAGTTTGGGGCATGATGTACTTTCATGTGAATGATTTTTTTTATTGCTTTTTTTTTTTTTAACTTTCACTTGAGCACACACGGACACAATTAAATTGGTTGTGGGTGTGGTTTTATTATAAAGGTCAGCCTGTTTGAACAGTGTGTGTTATCTGGATTGTAGAGAAACCTCCTCATGAATGCAGAGATTCTTGCTCTTGCTCCTGCAGAGCCAACTGCAGCCTGAATAACTGGGAGTGACCCTGCAGAAGCCGGTGTGGCATAGCCTGACTTCTTAGCCTGGGTTCAGTGCCAGTCATACCAAGCCTACGCAGAGTCCCTCAGGTGTGCTGTGGTCACCAGCCCCTGTGCAATCTGTACTTTGCATTGTTAAGAATATTTAGTTATTTTCCTCTGCTTGACCAGGCAGAGGGGAGCTAATTAGTTTTTAATGAGAATCTCCCATCAAAAAATGCTGGGTATGTAAAATGTCATTCTTGCCTATTTTTTTCAGAAAGCTGGCTAAAGGTAATTTCAGGTAGTTTACTGGCCCTGACTAGCAGATTCAGACCTAGCAACATGCCACTTATTATTGGTAGATATTATTACAGAAAAATAGTCGATTTTTTTTCCTTAAAAAATTACAAGCGAGGAAAGTGATGATATATGTGTAATATCTTGTCAAACTGAACACTCAACTATTTTCAGTTTTCATTTTTTTCCTGTATTCTTTTCAGTAATCCTAATTTTAATTTGTAGAAATAGTAGATATATTTTAACCTGCTAATGTTTTTTTTTTTTCTCTTCATTTAATTTCCAATTTTTTTTAATATTTATTTCAAAGATGACACAGCCTTTTTCTAAATTCTGCAGGATATATTGTGAAAATGCAGCTCTTAAGGAAGCATTGAAACTGAGAACTGAGGAAGTTAAAACTCTTAAGTCTGAAAATGCAAGTAAGCCAACAGCCACTGTTCCTCTTACTATATCGTTGCTCTGGAATAATTCAGGAGTTAACTATGAATAAAGCTTTCCATCAGGACAAGTCTCTTTTTACTGACAACTGGTAATAGTGGATATGCAGCAAATCTCTTTAAATAGACACATACTGTTTGTTATTCTTGTCACATTGTCACTTTAACTGGAAAAAATATATTAAGTGATAGGAAAAGTCAGGGTAGATGTAGCATAAAAAGTAGATTGGGTCTGAAAGAAACAGACCCATCTTATCTCACTGGCTTGGTGACACAGTGGGTGTGGAGGGAAACGACCTCTTGTGTTCCTGTTCATGATCTGTAAGGAGGGAGCAACAGGCCAGGAAAGCCACAGAATGCTTCAGCTACAATTAAAGTCATTACTGGAGATACACACTTCTAATGTCTCTAGATTCCTATAGCAAAAACTTTGAGGTATTCAGCTTGTCAACTTTATAATGGAGTTTTCCAAACTGTATGCTATGCCCATGCGGGGTTGGGTCACACATCTCGAGCTCCTTTCCCTTATTTTTGGTTTCCAAAAACCTTTAAAATGGCTGAAACAGATCATTATTTTCCCAACAGTGTGTTTTTCTAAAAAAAAAAAATAAAAAAAAATAAAAAAAAATCTGCTGCCTTAGTTGTAAGTGGAAGAAAGACGAGCACATAATGGAAAAGTAATATTTGAGACCGTTATCTCTGTAAATGGCTCATCAGCTCTAGGAAAAGACAGAAGAAAAAACAAGTGGGATCTGAGTTCGTACATCTACATGGTCTCATTGTATTCCCCAGATGCTTATACAATAAAACTTCTTCATTTGGCTGTAGTTAAACTATGAAAATAAGAAAATCAGAACAGCAGACTTTTCAATTATTTTCCTTCTTTATTTCATAGTCCTGAATCAGCAGTGCTTGGAATTTCTTGCAATGCTGGATGTGAACAAACAGAAGGTTGTTCAGGAAAACATGTCCTTGAACAGAAGCGACATCACAGATATTACTGGTCTTGAAGTAAGTACGAACTGTGTTTTTCAAAATGGCTGGTTCGAAGATGTGCAAAAATCTTCATTCTAAACTTTCTTCCTTTACAATATAAAAAGCAGGCTCTAGGATACAATGCATTTATTAACCTTTCCAAAAGTGCTCAGGCTGGCAAGAGCACAGTGTAAGACTTTATTTCTTTGATACCTGCTTCAAGGTGAAAGCTGGAGGGGAGCAGTGTTTACAGGGATTTATTGACACAGATTTACTGGAATTCAGTTGTGGCTCTTCTCACGTATGAGCACACTACTGTTTCACCTTGATTTTCTTGAGCATTGCTTTGCAGATAAGTACTGAACAGAAGACTTTTAAAGCCCATCTCCTTTGCTGCCTTTGTAGCAGTGAGTTCAGACTGGAACACCTAATGGGCATATTTAGATTCACAAAAAGTACATTAGTGTCAGATATGAGATTAGTGCTGAAAAATACACTTGACATGCATCATTGTGAGTTAAAAGAAATCATGCCTGAATCTTTGTAGCATGGTTTCCCTGACCCTTACATTCCCTCTGTAGCTTCAGAATGTTTTTTGCTAAGTCATTTGGCATCTCCTGCATTGTGGTGTGTACATTGATACTTAACCGGTGATTTGTTTTGGATTTTAAGCTGGCAGTTCTTGGAGCCTGCACCTGCAATACTTCCGGGGGGCAACCTTGTTCCTGTGCTAAAATGGCAGCTGTCACTCGAAAACAACTTCTTCATCTCAAGCAAGAGGTAATGCTGCTTGACTTAGATAAAAACAAGTAGAGAGGTCAGAAAAACAAATTTGCTCAAAAAAAAACAAACCTTTACACAAACTGATGTGTTTTAAAACAAGAATGCATCCCAGAAATAATGTTTGTTTGTGATGCCTTGATTGTTGCTAATATAAAACTGTAATTATGATTTTTAAAATCTACTAGTAAAAAAAGTAAATCTTGTTCAGTTTTCTTCCACTCGTATTTTTAATATGAAAATATACACACTCAAAATGTATTACACTCTATAAATGTGTACACAATGTGAGTGTGGACTTCCACTGAAAAGAATAATTTCCTTTTCCCTTTCCTGTCAGTGCATTCCACCCCGTTACACCACTCCCTTGTGTTGACGTCAGCATTCAAACAACTGCTCACCTAGCTAGGTCATGGTGTATTTACATCTCAAATAAATCAATAAAATTATTTTCAAGCCCTCAAAGTTTTACTAAATTTTATTTTTATTTTTTAAATTTTTAAATTTAGTAAATCTATATTTTTAGAAAGAAGAATTTTTCTTCTGATTTGTATTTGAACCAGCAAGTGTGGTAACCTTACTCGCTGTCCTAGTGCAGAAGTTCCCACTGACATACGGATTTTAAAAATAAGTGGAGCAGAATAGAATAGTTCCAGCTGGAAGGAACCTCCAAAGACTGAGTCCAACCACCCGACTACATTGGGACTGACCCCAAATTAAAACTTACCAGTAAGAGCATTGTCCAGATGCCTCTTAGACAGGCATGAGGCACCAACCACCTCTTTAATACTTTTCATACCTCTTTTGTATCAGGGTTATTATGCATTTTTATTTTTTATTTTTATTTTATTTTTATTTTGCTGCTCTGCATATTGGTACAGAACAAGCTGGTCTGCATGTGCAGAGATAAGTAGGCAACACCAGCAGCATAGCTAATGCAGTGTGTAGGTGGTGTCAGGTACATGCGTAGAAAAGGGTACGGACTTAAATACACACTTCAAAACATATCTCTTTATGTAACAAGAAACCATTTAGTCTGGTTTTATACTACTTCCCCAATTAGATATATGTAAAATTTGCCTGGTTGCTCATCAGTACCCTTTTATGGTCACAGGTCTGCCTTGGGAACCACTATGGTGACCTGGTAATATGAAAGTGCTGAACTGCATTAGTGGCTTTAGTCTGCCTCTTAACTTACATTTTAAATCCATTATTGCTTCCAAATTGCTTAATATACTTCACATTTTCTCTTAATCAAAAACAGATTGAACTTCTGAAGAAGAGTAAAGATGAAGCTTATATAATGGCAGATGCCTTCAGAATTGCATTCGAACAGCAGTTAATGCAACGAAAGGACCAAGCTCAGAGGCTTGCGGAAGTGATAAAGATTAAAAAAGGAACAAAATTTATAAACTGGAAACGTCTGAAAGAGGATGGTAACTGGGCATGTTATGTATCAGCAATAGTCAAATAGAAAAGAAGTCAGTTGACAAAGGGGCACAGGCAGCCTTTTATTGCATCAAATACACGGTTGTAGTTTAATTGCTTACTGAGACTTCTGAACCCCAGAAAAAAGGAACAACGTGAAAACCATAAATACGCTAAGCAGTGCAGCACATAGTTCACAAACTACTACCAGAAGTTTCTCACGTAATGCAGGATGTCTGGGTATAGGTGGACTATTATAGTAATCATAAAACAAAAACTACTGTAGGATGTTGGTGTTACTAGTCTACCTTTTAATGTAGCCTTTCTTATTACACGCTCGTGAGCTAAATTATCTGAGTTAAATCATGCTAGAATAAATAAACTTATCCAGGATGACAATAATATTCTAGATATTAAAGATCTCATGAAAACAGCACAAAAGAAAGGTAGCATCTGGAAAGTTTAGCCTGTCTGTTCAAGATGTTATCAACATTTTTATTTATTTTTTATTATATGTAAGACTTAGGGAAGGAGAAGTGCAAAAAGATACCTACTGAGCCTTTTCTGAAATACTGAATACAATTATTTTTAAATTTTCAGTTTTTCATTACATATTTCCTTTCACTAGTATTTCTTCTACTACTACTACTTAGCATGATGATCCATGAATTACAAATCCCTTTGTAAAAGAGGAAGACTTGTCATTATCCTTTTCTTTTTAAGGAAAAGCATAAAGAGAAATATTTAAATACTTATTTCATGGTCAATACCATAGAATTGAGGAGTAGAATGCATTTCAAGATGTATTTGTGTTAGCTATTGACCTGTAATGTGCCAGGTTTATAAGTCTTGTGGGTCTTCTGGATTCTTTGGGCACCCCAGAAAGCAAGACAGGATACATCTTCAGTGTCTGTTTCCCTTTTACCGATGTCATTATTACGAAGCTCTATATTGTGATACCAGCATTTTGTAATTTTAATGTATTTTAATCTTTTTATAAATCTTACAAATTCAACAAGTTGTGCCAAAGAAATGTATTTTTTTTTTAGACACCAATGGCTTAAAAACACATTACCATGAATTGCCATTTTGTTAGAGCCAAAGTTTAATTTTCATATGGCAATTTAATAATTTAATAATTTTCATATAAAAATAACTTTTATTTTCAATTTTCCCAAAGTCAAAAATGAAAAGTCCATTTAGCCTTTAAGAGATGGCAAGGGTGGTGCTGCATGCAAATAACTTGGCCACATTATGTACTGTACCAGCTGTAGCTTGCAGTGCCCTTTTAGAGAGGTTGCTTGGAGTTCAGCTTTATGCATGCCCATTTTGTCCCAAAGTAGCTTTTCTCTTAAGCATTTCCATAATTTATATACTTTTCCTTAGGGTCTGTCAAGTTACAAGGGAACAAGAATAATCTCGGACAGAAATTATCGAGCCTGCTCTCATCAGACATGGACAGTAGGAAAGTTGAAGAACTAGACAACCCTCATGAAATCCTGAAGATATTAATAGATTTGGTTAGTTTTTTTTTGTTTTAATTAATAATCAGCACGGTTTCCTAGAAGAAACGTAATTGTTGATTTACACGGATTGCCTTGTTCTTACACCTTCTTTCCTGTCTTTCCGTTTTAAATCAACATGCAGATAAACGACAAAGAGGAGGCTTTGGCTCATCAGAGGAAGGTCAGTTACATGCTAGCCCGTGCGATGGAGCTTAAGGAGAAGGCTTGGGCAGAAGGTACAGACGGACACCAAGGCAAAGCTGGGCAGCCCCTGGGGCCATCGGGACCCTGACCCCTGGGCTGCCGCAAGGTTGCCACCCAGCATGGACTTTTGTCAGCTCCTGAGTGAAACGGATTCACAAAGTGCTTTGGGAACCACACTCCTGGCCCTCAGAGACTGCGCCCCATGAAGAAGGCGGCTCGTGAGGAACCGCTGTCCTTTCAATACAGGCGTCAGGCAAATAAAAATGAAGTTTTGCTTTTTTTTATACACGGATGTTGTGTCTTTGTTTATTTTTTAAACTCGGATGTTACAGACCTAGTAAAAAAAAATAATAAATAAACAAAATAAACCCCGCCACACGGATGCACTCCCCCTCGCCGGGCGGGGGCGCAGGCGCCATCTCGGCGCTGCCCCGCGCCTGCGCCCCGCAGCCCCACAAGATGGCGGCCGCCACCGCCGCCAGGGGCGGGACCCGCACATGCGCCCAGCGGCCGCGCAAACAAGGGGCGCCGCCGTCCCGGAGCCGCCGCCCGTGAGGTGAGGGCTGAGGGGAAGGGGGGAGGCTCTCGCCCGTTGCCTTGTCGGGGCTCTCCTGGTGGGCGGTGGGTGCCTCGTCCCTTCCCTTCCCCCAGCCTTAAGCGCGTCCTGGGCGGTGCCGAAGGGAGCGAGGGGCTCCCTTCATCGGTGAGGGCAGGCTGCGGGGCGCCCAGGTGTGGTATTTTGGGGAAACGGAACAAAAGCCCTCGGTCTGTGTCGGTGTGGGGTGCGGCTCGCAGGCTGTGCGGTCCCCTTGCTGCTCAGGGGGATGAGGTGTTTGTATTCAGTGATATCTGTGCTGCTGTTCCCTTGGCTTAGCTACAGGATGCTGAATATAATGCTTATAATGCTCCGGTTGAGGCATGAAGTGTTTTAAGGCTTCTGGATAAACTGGTAAACATTGTCAGTCTGTATTCAAATGCAAACTGCAGCGGTAGAGAAGTGGTTATTAGCGTGCTTTGGGGAAATGTCTAGATGCTATGAGCGTCTGCTGCTTAGGTCCTCCAGTACCTCCAATCTGATCGTTAATCACGCCAAACAGAAAATATGAGTGCGCTGGGAGAGCACTGATTTCCTTTGTCTGGAGGATGATACTTCAGACCTGATGTAATAGCCATCACGTTCTCATGACTCAGTTTCTACAGCTAAATAATAAAAGCTGATACAGCCAATAGCGGTGGCATTGTGTGCAGCATGTGAGAGATGCGTTTGTTCGGTTGGGCAAGTGGATTCTTCAGCTGCGCCGGTACCGCTGATGTGCTATAGAGCACTGCTGAAAATCAGTAATTGTCCAGTGTGCTGGTTTTGCCCAGCTGGGCAGCCCAGCTCCACCACAAACCGCTCTCTCACTCCACTTCCTTAAAGAGAAAGGGGGAGAAAATAGGATGAAGAGGGCTCAAGGGTTGAGATAAGGACAGGCAGATCACTCAACAGTTATCATAACAGGCAAAACAGACTCAGGGAGGGTCCCCCATGGGTGGGTGGCAGCTCCCCCCAGACCCCCTGCTCCTGCGGGGGCTCCTCTCCATGGGCTGCAGCTCCGGCCCGGGGCCTGCTCCTGCGGGGGCTCTCCATGGGCCGCAGCCTCCTCCAGGCCACATCCACCTGCTCCACCGGGGGCTCCTCCACCCATGGGGGGGCTGCAGCGTGGAGATCTGCTCCGTGTGGGACCCATGGGCTGCAGGGGGACAGCCTGCAGGGGAGCTGCTGCTGCCTGCCTGGAGCACCTCCTGCCTCCTGCTGCACTCACCTGGGGGCTTCAGGGCTGGCTCTCACCCCTCTCTCCCAGCTAATGATGAGCAACTAGTTTTTTTTCCCCCTTTTCTTAAATCTGCTGTCCCAGAGGCTCAACCAGCATCACTTAACAGGCTTGGCTCTGGCCAGTGGCAGGTCCTGTTTGGAGCTAGCTGAAACTGGCCTTTATCTAACGTGGGGCAGCTGCTGGACTCTTCTTACAAAGGCCATATCTGCAGGCCTCCTGCTACCCAAACCTTGCTACATATACCTAATACATCCAGCGACATCTTTTCTCTCTGTGCAATGCATGGTACTGTTTTCTGGTCAGAAGAGAAATAACATGTTACTGGGGCTGATTGAAAGCAAAATTTAGGGGTTGGGGGGGGGCTGAACATGATGTTACGTTGAAGTTGTCTGATTGCTGTTGGTGATAATACTGTTGGTGGCTTTTTATTGTAGTTTTTCTGAAGAAATTTTGTTGAACTAACAAAATATCCCTCTTCAGGCTAGGCAGTGTAGTTTTGCAGTGTGCCATGTCAGCTTTCTCTTAGGTGCCTGAAAACTTCTATTAACTTTTATGTTCATTCCCTAATTCAACCAGTAAATTTGCAGTGTCAGCAGCTCTTGCACTTTTTTAGTTGGATAATATGTTGCATTGGTCAGCAAGAATCATTTTATTTTTTATCTGACACCACTTAAGCTTTTCCCAAAGCTTTTGCTTAGTTACGTTGATTGCTGACCAGCTGCACGGGTAGTTGTACCCTTAGGTTTTTGGCGTGGTTTAGTTTTGTTGTTTTGGTTTGTTGTTTGTGTTTTTTTTTCTTTGTAGAGCCTCAAGCATCTAGTTTCTGGTCACTCTTAAGTATAGTGAGTAAGCACAGTGATGGAGTTGAAATAATGCAACTTTGCAGTGAACACAAAGACTTTCCTGATGACTGCAATAGCAGTCTTAATAAGAGGCTAACTTTCAGGAATGGAGACCTCTGTGTGTGTGTGTGTGAGGTGAGTGCACATGTGTTTCATTGTCTCCAAACCTGATCCCCTTCAGCAGGCCTGGATTCTGCAGGGATGATGGGTTGTGAGTGGATTGAGCTCTGCTAATGCCTACATGTATCAAGCACTACAGAGACTGTTTTTTAGGGATTTGTAAATATCAAAAGACTGCTTGTCATCAGACAAAAATTTCTTTTTGGTTAGTAAGTAATAATGAATTTATAAATTTTACTGTGCAAATTATAATGGAAAACTACTAATTGTGTATTTAGAGACACTGTCTTTGATAAACTACAACATAGACCGCTAGGATAGAGAATAACTGAAAAATAGCAAATGTGTATTATGTTCTCACTTAAATAGGAGTGCACTTAGAATTGCCTAACATTAAGTGCTTTTTGAACACTGGAGTATGTGCCTATTATCTTAGAAGTTATTTATAAGGTTATAAACAAAGATACTCGTTTTTTTATTTTATTTTTTTAGTATATTGACACACTTGTTACCCAAGAGAAGCAAATAATGTCATCTAGATGACCATGCAACAATTTTTATTTATCATTGCCTCCATTTCTTAAGATACACTCTTTGTGCAACGTGAAGTGCAGTGTTAGGAGTTTGCCAGGGACCAAGCCTCCTCTGACTGGGCCAATAACATAAGCAAACCTGCACTGTTTCCATTTGTGCACTTTAAACTTGCAGGGAAAGAAGGGTGTCTGACCTGGTGCTGATATGTGCTCGGTACTGACTGTTCGGTTCCTGCAGAGATTACCACAGAATAACACTCTGATACTGTTCCTGTTGGCTGTTTGGGATACTGGCTTCCTGAGTTCACTGTGATGGATACTGCCTGTTTGAGCAGTTTTGTTGTTAATCGTCCACTAAATAAACTTGGGTAAGGTAATAAAGAAAGCTTATCCTGTAATTATGGCATAAGAAAAAAGCTTTGAAAGCTGAAAGATTGGCAGCAAGCTTGTTTAAAAACAAACCAAACGTTTACCTAGAAAAGTGGCAAGAGTTGTCTTGGTGTGCCTTTTTGTAAAACATTAAGGAGAGCTGTTTTTCTGTCTTGAAGCTAAAGGATAATCAACAAAACGAAGGCTGCTGGCTGGAATAAAATGTACTTTTGCCATGCCACGTACTTGGAAGCCCTGGTAATAGGTAAGATCTTCAGTGACCTGTTCTTTGGTGAGATTGTCCGTCCATTAAGTGAGACACACAGAAGGACAAATGGTGTGATGAGAGTTGCTGATCTGCAGTGGTTCAGGATGTGTGGAGTTTGAAAGTTGTCTTTTGCATATTTCTGGCTGAAGATCTTGGAGTGATCACTCCAAGGCTTCTCTTGTCATCTGGCCTTGTCCTTCAGTCATAAGGTAGGCAGTGAAACTCATAACGAAATAGATTTAATTGGCTCAGTTTAATACAGTGAAAGAAAGTCTCTAAAACTGGTCTGTAAACTAAGTTAACTGATTTAACCATAACTATGTTCTCCAGTCTAAATTTGTCTTTCTGAAATAGAGCTTGCTCTTTGAGATGACTTCTGACATTAGACACTAGCTGTTTAACGCTGTACTGTACTCATTTTATGCTTTGATTTTTTTTTTTCCTGTTTTGAGGAGCACTGGTATATATCTTCCAGTCTCCTACCACATAAATACTTAACTTCAAGTGAAAGCATAAAATCTTTGGCAGACAGTGATTTAAACAGTACTTAAAACTTAAATCTTTCAACTTGGGGGAAAAAATACACAAAATGGAGCCATTAAGAGGTTCGAGTTGCATGTCTCCTGTACTATGTAAGACCTCAGATAGAGTTATGAATGTTGTGTCCTGTTTGTGCACTGCCCCTTCTGGTATGGTGGCATGTTTTTTTTGTTTTTTTTTTTTTTTTATGTGTCTATGCAAGGACCTCATCTGGATGAAAAATAACTAAGGAAATAAATAAATTTATAATGTTTAAATCAGCCAGGTCAGTTCTTGCTCTGCAGAATGTGTAACTGAGCAAACCATAACTGGAGTGGTTTAAGGGATGGTACAGGGACAAGTTGTTTGCAAAGCAGTTCCTCTAAAACCTGCAGTGCCCAGCAGTCATCTTCCTCTGCTTTCATGCTCTCTCCGTGCTCATACAAAATATTTACTTCCCTCTCCTTTCTTGATCATTTGGGTTTTTAATGCTTTTGTGGTTGGACCTCAAACTAAAATTTTCTACCTATTTTAAAAACTATGGTGGTGCTGCTGCTGGTTTGGGACAGTTAGAAGTATAATTCTTGAAACTGAGCGTATATTCAAAGTGAATGTAGTTCAGTGAAAGACATGGATACTAAAGATTACTTTCGTTTGAGGAAGCAAGCAACCATTTAACAAAAACACGTCACCAGAACCTCAGGGCTTCTAGTTCGCTTCTTGTTTAATGTAAATATTGGGACTGGCTGTAGGCAGCTGTAGCAAGCCAAAAAGAAAACCTGGTCTTGTTCCTATAAAAAAAGATCTCAGACCAGAAGGATTTC